TATATATATATAAAAAAGAAAAAGCCTGCACCAGATCGATTTATTTTTTGGTGCAATTGATTTCGGTACACGCAGCCACTAAATTCTCATTAGGACGCAAGTTATTATTCCCTTGGAAATTGTGGTAAAAGGTTGAAAAACAGCTCCATATCTTGCCTTTTTTTTTCTTTAAAGTTCTTTACATTTTTAGATAAGTATAACCTTGTTTTCTGTCTGCAGGCATTCATTCGGCCGTTCAGGGAGCACCACATTGACCCCACCGCCATCACCCGCCACGATTTCATCGAAACCAATGGAGACAACTGTATGATCCCCATCTTACCCCTGGCACACATGGCCTACAAGTTCTTCACTTGCACACCAGGTAATATACACGTACACAGAATCTGAGCTCACACAGTCAGAAATCCACACAGCAGCGAAAAGATGCGGAAATGTTAGCAAATGCCATATCAATCAATTCAGAAAAGTTAATGTGCTGGGGTGCGAATGCTCTGAATCACACTTTGAGGCATTTCTATTATTCTTATTTTGTTAGATGAGAGACTTAATTAATGAAACCGGATGGTGTTCCAAACCACTGCACACATCTCCCCTAATAAATATTAAGTGAATGCCTCCCTGCAAGTGAATTAAAACTGAGTATGACAATCTTTGTGAACGCTTTTTTTTTTGGGTGGGGGGGGGGCGTTGTTTGTATTTTGATTCGGCTCTTGTATTAGATCTCATTAGATGGTTTAAGTAGACTGGGATTACGTGAGTATAAAAACTTTTGAAAGTTGCCTCAGAAGGGTGACTGGTCACAGTGACAAGCATGTTGACATCGCCATACTGCAGAGGCAACGCGGCTTGCAAGGGCGTCGGAAGTGAGGGAAGACAGGGGGAAGTTGTACTGGTAATTATGTGCACTGACGTCATGAATGCTACGTGATCTAATGATGCCGTCCACCCATCGAGTACAAATTCAGCTGTGCTCATCCCAAAAATGACCATCACCAGTCTTACCCACTTCTGGCACACAGTTGTGGAGTTATGTCATTCACGTTGTTTTATTCTCGCGTTAATGCTAACACAAGAGCTCATTCCAAACTTTTCTACAGATTAAAATGGTCACACTGTGTATTTCTTTATTACATGTTTATCATATATAGTATTCAGAATTCTAAGTGTGTTTAAAATATTTTAATTTCATTGACCCAATTACTTTGGTCGCAGTGTGCAGTTCCGAAGCAAAACTGTGAAAAAAAAAATATATATATATATATATATATTAAGGCATTTATTTATGTATGAACTGAAAAAAGCTGTAAGAGTTTGAATCACGGAATGTAGTTGTTTTGCATGGAATCACCAACTTGTGGCACCTGTTAACTGGTCAATTGGATCACTCTATACATTCATTGGCTATTTATTCTGTCTACTGTGAGGAGACCGGAACAAGAAGTACAATGTTCCGAACTTGTGCTTTAAGACGACCCAAAGTAAAAGCTGCAAAGGTCGTCCGTCCTTAAGGGGGTCCAGCAAACAATGGAGAGTGGGCGGGGAGAAGATTATAGGTCGAAAAACAGACGCCCGCTCGTAGGTCACGTCTACGCAGTGGGTCAAGAAGGATGGTGACATCTCCGTCTGCTCTCGAAGGGGTCAGCGTTCAGAGGGTTCGGGCATAGACGAGGGTGAGTGGGAGGGTAGGACGGTCTTGTTGCGGTGAGGTGACATCTGAGCGTATCGTGTCAAACTCCTCATGGTGGCAAGTGGTCACCAGACAAAGACGGAGGGCAGGTGAGAAGGTGAGGTGACATTTCCAGCTGACATGTTTGCACTTGAGCTGAGGGTCAAGAAGTGGATGTGGAAGGCAGCTCGAGACAAAGACTGCTTAGAGTCAGACAGACGACGAGTGTTCGACGTGACGAAACAAAAACAGGCCCTCGGGAGCAACATTTGGATAGAAAAGACTTTAACGCATATAAAACAAGAGGCCACTTGGTTGCGCAGTGCTTTTCATAACTTCTGACGTGGGATTTTCCAGTTCGTACCCCGTTCACAATCAACCTGAACTGGAGTAGTCCGCCTTTAATCCGCAGTGACAGGCTGTGTTTCCACGGAGTGGTGCATCAGCTATGTCAACAATGTGATACAACTCCAGCAGCACTGTCGGTTTGTCATGAATAATGCTTTAGCTTGTCACGCTAATCATTCCGTCACCATCCACAACATCAGAGAAACAAAAACTCCAAATGCTCCTCTTGGCTTTTTTTCAGTTTATACAAATATATCAACAAGCCCTGACATTCTCCACTATTTTGAAAGCTGTATGAATACTACAGTATTTTCCGCACCAAAAGGCGCAGTGGATTATGAGGCGCACCTTGAATGAATGGGCTATTTTGTAATTTTTTTCACATACTGGACGCACTCCATTGTAAGAATTTTTTTTCCCCCAAAAATGCGACTTATACTCCAGTGTGACTTCTATATGTTTTTTTCCTTCGTAACCCATGTGTTACAATTTCTACAATTTTTGTAGATTTTTGCGTATTGTCATCTTTAAATCAAAGACAAAGCATAAAAATTGTGTGATATGAAATATTCCAATTCATGTTTTATTTATATAGATTTATATTTATGTTTTGGTCATAGCACAATACCGCTTTTATTGTCCATAGAGGGCAAAAATACAAAGAAAAAAATAAGAACTATATGTGTATGTATAGCACTGATGCCACTGAACATGTCGAGTGGTTGAAAGTAAAATAAATATTCAGGAATAACACTTTTACAATTTTTGTAAAATTGTATGTTGCGTTATATAAACTTATTTACATCGACTGCAGCACATGGTTATGCATTTTTTGGCTGGTGCGATTTATAATCCGGAGCGACGTATAAGCCGAAAAATACAGTACTTACTCTCAACATAAATTATCGATGTTTTAATCTCTAAATATCACCTTTTTTTCAATCAAAATAAAGATAAAACCCCTTACATCCAAATATGAATGAAATTAGGCTCTTGGAATCACAAAATTCAACGGAGAAACATAGCGCAACATGTTTTATGTGTTCCGCTCCGTTTGTTCTTACTTCAGTCATCTTTGGTGGTCAATGTTTAAAATGTACGTCCTCTTGAACAGCGCGAATGCACATGACATGTGCTACACTTGTCCTCTGCTCATCGCTCCCTCGTTGACACGTCGTCTCGTCTCCCGCGTTCCTCGCCCCCTCCCTCGATCCCTTCATCTCCGCGTGGCTCTCGCCAGCGCTCTCTCTGTGGGAGTGCTAAGTCTTTGTGTGGGCCCTCATCACAACACTTTAAAAAATATATATATAAATAGATTAAAAGAAGGATTGCCTTCTAATCTTGTCGTCTTCACGTAATCATTCTCACGTCACCTTTCAGAGGCCTTGGCGGCGTCCTATCCTTGGGACTGCTACGTCTTCGCCCTGGCCATTTTCGTCACGTTGACCAACCAGATTCACAAGTGGAGTCACTCCTACTTCGGACTCCCGCGCTGGGTCACCCTGTTGCAAGACTGGCATGTGGTGTTGCCACGGAAACACCACCGCATCCACCATGTCTCGCCACACGAGACGTACTACTGTATCACTACAGGTAAGACGGCGCTCTCACTTGCGTCAGTATCGCGCCGTAGGAGCATTACGATGAAGGCAACTTGATTCAATTCAAATAAATCTGATAACGGCTTCGCATTACGGCCGAAGCTATACTTGCCTCACTTCAGTTTGTAATATTACCTCTACAGTCAGTAATAGGTGAACAGTAGAATACTTTTTAGATGTTTTTGGAACAGGAAGTCATACATGTACAAATCTGAATTTGTACATGTATTAATGCAGCATACATGTAAATAAAATATAGTAAAGATTTGCATGCATAAAACTTTTGTGGCATAAATCTAAAACAATCAAATGACACTCATTTGAAGAAGGCGTCAACTGAGTGTGCCTTTTTGTGCTGTGTGACGATGTATTCTTCGCTCGCTGATTCTGTACCTTTTGTGACCTCCAAATGTTGCTACCATCATGAACTGTGGTGCTTGTCTCTGTTTGTACAGAGTGAAGTCAAGATTTGGATGCCACTCAAAAAAGTGCATTGTCCAAATTAGGTAGATGAATGTCCGTCCCAGTGTGAAAACAGATCAAGGTCAACCTGTGTGATTTGAAGATTGTTTGGCGGGCGGCCATTTTACATGGCCTTAATTGAAACCCAAGACGACTGAATGTCTTCACTTAAGCAGTCTGACAAAATGGCGCTGGCTTTTAAATAACTCCCCAAAAATGTAGTTTGCGTGTGTCTTGAGTCTTGAGAGACGCCGGCCCCATATTAGAGCCACATTCGCTATTCTTTGCGCATGTGGGTGAGAGGGAGAGGCAAAGCGGCAGGATACGCGAAGGGGGTTGAGCTTGTACGTCACCCTGGCGCCCCAGCGGACGCCAGATGTGAGTGAGCGAGCCGAGGGGGGTGTCACAGGGAAAAGTGTGTGTTTGTAGATGCACGCACTGGCCTGCATCTGCATACTTGAGCATCTGTGCGCAAGCTAGCTTTTGTGACCTCTTCATGATTTCTAACCTGTGCGTGTGCCTGTGTGGGTTGGTGGCAGTCCAGCACCCACAGGGGACAGTGACAGCACACCCCACTACCCCACACCAACGCCACCTCCGTCTCCCTCAGCATAGCAGCCTGGGCCGGGCTCGGATTCCACTGGGGCACGCCGAGCTGCCTTTGTGTTTGCCACTGGCTGACAATCCCCATGTATATTTAATGCTAACCTGCTGTCTGTTCTAACAAATAGGACTTCACAGGCAGAGGGAGGAAGAGTGGAGGATGAGGAAGGGTAGGAAGCAGGGATTTGGAGGGGGGAAAAGGAGGAGTGTGCTGCTGAAAGGCGGAGACGGGTGTGGAAGGAGAGATGGAGTGAAATCAAACACAACTTCTGGCGGCTTTGCGGTCTTCCTAGCACAGGGCGGGTTACTGAAGGGACACGACGCACACATTTGCGCGTGGCATACGCGCACCTCCCCGTAGCCATACGACGCACCCTATGTAAACACATCACGGGCGGTGGCAATGTGTGGGCATCATACGAGGGGAGCGAGAGTACGCACAGCCCTTTTTAGGCGGAGTTGCGGGTCGATTGCGACCCCCCCTCCCCTGCCCCCACATACACAAGTTTGATTTGGGTTTTTTTTTTTCTTTTCAAATCCCACTGGGCTTTTTGTTTGGACGTGAATATAAATCAGATATTAGTTTAGTCCGATTTGGATTTGTGCCAATTCCCAGCCACTACCGGTCACAAACCCATTGAAAATGTGTATATATCATTATTGTGGCCATCCATCCATCCATGCATCCATCCATTCTCTGAACTGCTCAAGGGGATCTCAACACTGCTGAAGCCTATGCCAGCTGACTTTGGGGGAGATGCGAGGATCCATCCATCCATCTATCTATTTTCTTCCACTAATCCAGAGTCGGGTCATGGGGCAACACCTTCAACAGGGAAGCCCAGACTTCTCTCTCCCCAGTAACACGGTCCAGATATTCCGAGGGAATCCCAAGGCGTTCCTAGGCCAGCCAAAAGAGAGATTCTCTTCTGCGTTCCCTGGGTCGTCCTTGGGGCAGACTGCTGGTGGGGCAGACTGCTGGTGGAGCATGCCCAGAACACGTTACCAGAGAGGCGTGCAGGAAGCCACCGAACCAGATGCTCGAGCCACCTCATCTGGCTCCTCTCCATGTGTAGGTGCAGCGGTTTGACTCTGAGCTTCTCACTCTATCTCTAAAATCAAGCCCGGGCACCCTGTGAAGGAAACTCATTTCGGCCATTTGTATCTGGGAACTTGCTCCTTCAGTCACGACCATAGATTAATGTCAGATCTTAGATCGACTGGTAAATTGAGCGTTTCACCTCTCAGCTCAGCTCCTTCTTCACCACGACAGACCAATACCAAATCTGCATCACTGCAAATGCTGCACCGATCCATGAACCTGTTGATGTCCTTCTCCATCCTCCCCTCACTCATGAACGAGACCCCAAGATACTTGAAGTCCTCTACTTGGGGCAGGACCTCATCTCCGATCTGGATGGGCATTCCCTAACCCTTTTCCAACTGAGGATCATAGTGTCAGATTTAGAGGAACTGACTTTCATCCGAACAGCTTCACCCTCGGCTGCAGATGACTCCAGTAAGAGTTGGAGATCGCGGCTTGATGAAGCCAAGAGCACCACATCATCTGAAGGGAAAACAAAAACAGAGATGCAATACTGAGGTCATCAAACAAGACCCCCTTAACATCTTGACTGCGGCTAGAAATTTTGTCCATAAAGGTTGTGCGCGGAATTGGTGATAGCTGTCTCTATCGCTATCTCTCTATCTATCTTGAGAGAAAGAGAAGACAAATTGGGAAAGCGAGCAACTATGAAATGTATCTGGTGCTCAGTCCAGGGTGTACCATGCCTATTGCCCAAAGTGAGATCGAGTCTAGCTCAACAGTGTCACTGACAATAATGAGTGGTATAAAGTGGCTGTATGGAGAATTTTCCCATGTGTGCAATGTTACGAGTTTCACTTTTTGAATTGATCAACTGAAATAAACGTTTCTCTTCTATTGTAATTCACTAAGATGAGCTTCTGAAATGTAGACATTGCAATGAGGAGCCGTGTGCGTTTTGGTGCGAGAGAGAAAACGGAGGTTGCGGTGCAAGGTGAGGACTGATGAGGACATTCCACTCGATGGACATTAAGGTCACTCATGAGAGGTGAAGCAATGTGAAATGAAAGATGAGCTCAGCTTGTCTGGAGGGTAAAAGAGAGCCGGTTGGGAAATGGATGGTTAGAGACAAGCCATTGCGAGGGAGCGCTTGCCCTTTGCGTGCTTATCGAATGCATACTATGTCGTTGCCCGCGATTGCCAAAACCTGCTGGGACTGGCTCCGGTTCAAACACGACCCGAATGAGCAAGAGATCTGTCAAAGATAGAAAAACAAATGTTCCTTTTTCTACATTCAAGACAACTCTTCTTATCACATTCTTTTGGTGTGATGTTCTGTTCACCCAGGCTGGTGTAACTACCCACTGGACCAGCTGGGCTTCTGGAGGCGCATGGAGCATCTGATCGAGCGACTTACTGGTCAAAAGCCTCGATGTGATGACCTGGCCTGGGCCAAGAAGACTGACTGAGGAATGCGTGGACAGACGGGAAGGAGGATATAGACAAGGAGATGACATTTTAAAAGGGAAGCGCGCACACACACACACACACACACACACACACACACACACACACACACACACACACACACACACACACAGTACATTCTACTCATGTTTCAGTGCTCTTGTCTTTGCAAAAAAAAAAAGTCATTTCTGTACATGCAAAATTGTAGTCAATAAAACTTTGTGAAGGGAAAAAAAAAAGTGTTCTAAACACTAACATTGGTTTAAGCAGTAAACAACTTGTGTATTGAGAAGCCAGTTTAATCAATCAGATGTGCTGCTGTCCTGGTGTCGGGCGCATCTGGAGGTTGGGCTCTCCAGGGGTGAAACCACGCTGCCGAACACACACACACACACACACACACACACACACACACACACACACACACACATATTACAGTATTGATGAAAATAATAATAATGCTTTTTTTCTGAATGGAGCTTAATAACTTGCATTATCAATACAGTAGTCATTACTGCACTGTCTATTTGAGAAGGGACCCGTATTTGTTTCACGCTCAGCGATTAGACATCGTATCTATTTGACTGTAGGTCAATACGTCAGGAAATATGTTTAAAGCTATCACAACCATTTGTGGGAATGCAGAAAAAGCGTACACAACATTGAATAAGAATAAGGGCAGACTTTTTTTTAGATTTCATTTTCAAAACGAATTAATTTGCATCATATTGCCTTCCATATTCAAACATGAATCGATTTTAATTCAGTTGCGTTACCTTGGTGAAAGAGGAAAAAAAATTGTTGCAAGATGTGTTTTCAGTAAAAGATGTGCAAACTGTATATGTTGTATATTTTTGGAAGATATTGTCGTACGCCATACATATGCTCCACCCCCACCGTCCCCCACAACCATACAATTATTTTGTCACTGATTTACCATTATTAAGTCTTAATAGCGTCATTACCTCTGAGCACTGCCTCACCAAGTATGGCTTTCACTGGCTATTAGAAGAGACTCAAATTCCCTCTGTAAATGGTTTTGTTGTCATTCAGAAAGCATCTACATGCAGGTGCATCCCCTAAAAAGGGAATGTTATTATTTATGTTTAAAGTTCATTTGTCTCAGTAGTTCATTCAAAAACTGAAAATGGATTTAACTAATCGGGGCATATTTTCATCAGAAAATGTCTACCGGTGCTCAATTTTCACATTCAAATTTTTTTCTCATGCCATCAAATATCTGGGGAGGTGAATTTTGGGGGACAGGGTTAGCCTTAAACTAGAAATTGTGCGTGTGTGTGTGCGTGTGTACGTGTGTGTGTGTGCGCGTATGTGTGTAATCAATCATGAAATACTTCACTTAGTGTAATAAATTGCATCATTTTTTTTTCTGTTTCACTTATTTTGACTGAACTCTTGAAACAAAATGAATACGTTTTTCCACAATCTGAAAATTTGTTGAGATGCACCTGTCTGTATATGTTTTGCCCCAAGCAGTCTTGGTCCTATTTGTAAATAAACATGTGCCCTGCATTCGCTGTTGCAGGATGCCCTCCATCCACATTTGGTTAAAATTCAAAATACACATGGGACCTCTGCAATTGTGTCTCAGTAAAGCATTGAACCTAAATGGGTGCACACATTATTTTAATTGCGTGGCACAGCAACTTTTGAGGTCTGATGCTGTTGCCTTACATGAAGTCCGTCTTTTCGGATTAAATCCCAAACACGTGCATCACAGTTAGCTGCTCCAGGCCCAAATAAAGCAACTCATTGCTTGACATTTTCAACAGGTTTCGTGTCTCTCCGCATTCAAAGGGTCAAAGCTAACCGCACTTTATTCCTCCGCAATGAGCACTCTTCCTCACTTCGCACAAATGTATCCACCGAATTTCTGTCACACATGCGCAAGCGTACACGTGCTGTTTCTCATATTGTGTTTGGCTGCTTTCTCCGGCTTCATAATTTTCTATTTTCTTATTACCGAATCAAGCCATGTACAGTTAAACTCTTGATTTTACATTTTGCAGTTTAACGCTCGCTGCTTTTCTGCCTTAATGTTTTTATCTGCTCTTTCATTTGAATAAAGAACTAAACTATTCCAGATGTTCAAGTGCTCTGTTGTCTCTGGGAAGCAATGCAAATATTAAAACGTGGTTCAATAAAGTATTTTCGGTCTAACGCATAGATCCATAAGACATAGGCGTGAAGGCGAGAGGACAATTTTTTTCTTTTCAGAGTTCATCTTCATGGCAAAGTTTCTTCACCACATGCTGCAGTTGTATGTCTCTTACGCCCTCTAGCGCCAGGTTGGTTTCCCAACATTGGGGCTGGAAAAAAAAAAAGCTTATAAAATAATTAAAAGCTGTTGAATATGAATCATGGTGAAAGTTATCACGTTCTCCTGCGTACGTTGTACAAGAAAATCACAAGGTCACTTTAATGCACCAGGTTTGTGGATCCCAGAACCTTTTGGGCTGTTTCACCGAACCTTAAGTGGCCTCCCCAAAAAATGGAGCCCCCTGTTGGAGTACAGCTGGTGTCGCCTCCCCTGTGGATGATGCCGAAGAGAAAGGGGAGATGAGAGAAATGTGAATCGCGTTATAGACTGAACATGTGTGACGTTCACTGTGATTGTTCTGTAAACTGAAGCTACCGAAACCCTCGCCCACCCTAACGTCATTGTAAAAAGAAGTGAGAAGTGATGAGCTACAGTTAATTCAGCTTGCTACTTGGATTTTTTTTAATCTACGGTTATTTCTTATTGTGTGTGTGTGGATGATTTTGGTTACTCAGACACTTGTGTCACATGACTCTGTTGCACCAGTCCAATTTAAGCTTTATGTGCTCTAACCATTTACAGCGGTTGTACACAAGTAACACTAATTTCATTATTTTACATATCTTTACAATCACCGTTTATCCTTAATTATGTGATAAAATATGTTTTCTCTTTGTCATTTTACAACATGCTCATCACAACTATAAATGTGGCATTTCCTTCATATAGATTAGTCACACACTTAATATCTAAACTATACAAAAGGTCCCTCTTGGTCTTTGAAATCAATTTCCAAAGTTAAAGATGTAACTTTTTACATTATCATCTGTCGCTCCCACAGGCGCTAAGGTCTTCTTACTTTTCATTGGTACAGCAAAAATATTTCTTTCCAGTACAGTGTATTTTTGTGCAAAATCTTACTAAACCTACATATGGTCTGACAGCAGCTTTGACAGCTTTCTGTGACTGTTAATTAATCCGTTTATGAAGGAGCGTGGGCTTTGTTAGGGCCCGCCACAAACACGGCGACAGCGGCACTCGCACGTCTTCATATAGCTCACCGTGAGAGCTCCTTTTGTCATTCCCACATTGCCTCTGGCGTTTGCACCTTCACCTCCAGAGTTAACAAGACACACACACACACACACACACACACACACTGCATGGATGCGACATGCTGCCTTTCACTAGGTGTCGATGCACATCAGTGATCATGTCCTGCTGCTGTTAAAGTTTCTGTTCGATGTACTGAGAAGCAAACTTGCATCCCATCACATGTATTTCATAACAGCAAAAGCATCTTTTACGAAGGCTGACTTTAATATAATCGCCCATACGCAATAACAATATGGAAATGTGCGGTATTGTTTGATTAAAAAAAATCTGTTGTAGTATACTATATCAATAAAAATCAATAATTGCTCTTATGCCTTACCATACAATAGCATATAAAATAGACCTTCTCCCAAATGTGATGTGTAAATACAGTGATCATTTTTGTTTAATTGTGTGCTTGTAGTTTTTACCTCGCCGCTGCACGTTGTGAGATTTTCAGTGTTCTTTTGACAGTGACATTAAAGTCCTATTATGTTGTATTTTAGTGGTGACCAGAAGCTAACGCTGTTGTCTACGATGCTAATCTGCGCTGTCAAACAAAACTCAATGCAGCTCTGCTTACCTTGTGCAACAATATCAGGCACAGTTCAAACGGCCTCCTGTGAGACACACTTAGTTCTTATTGCAGGCAGTTTATACAAAAACGCTTAATCCAAATGAAATGCTAGACTTGTCGCTTTATTAAGAGAGTGTGAGATTTCGACTGAGATGCTTGTTAAGGATCAGGGGGGTGCGCTCACACCCTTTGTGTGCCTCAGGGTATCTGTGTTCCAGTGTTTGAATGTTTCAAAAAGTTACTTGCGTGATTTTGTTTCTTTTTTTGTCATTGTGTGTGCGTGCGGCAAACAGAAAATGAGATTCACTTACAAGTGGTTTTAGGAGTGAGAAATCCAATTACGAGCAGCTGAGACTTTTGCACAAACTCTGCATCTCATTTCACATGAACCCAACGTGATGTTAAGGCAGAGCTCGATTATTATTGAATTAATCTTTCCACATAGAAGTGAATGCCAAATTTACCATGAAAATATTGTTTGTGTTGTAACTTAATTAATCTGCTGTGTGCATGCATTCACTCTGAGGCGCGCTGGCGCTTCCTACCTGTGCTCATTTTAACCTCAATCCTTCACGGTTTTGTTTGTTTGTTTTTTTGTGCTTTTTTTTATGCCCTGTGATTGGCTAGAAAGGAGACCAGAGTACACAAAGACAGCTAGGAAGAGGCGCTAGTTTACCCATGACCCTAATAAGGACAAGTGGCATCGAAAATGGATGGATGGATGGATCAAACTTGTCATAATGAAAACAAACAAAATGGTGGAATTAGAATTGAAATATTTATTATTATTATTATTATTATTTTTATTAAACTGAGGTACAAGGGGGGAGGCAGCCCTCGTCTTTCATGGAAAATGCATGTTGGAGGTCTATCACCGTATTTTTAAGATGTTTTGGTCTACGAAAAAAATAAATAATACAAATCCTTTGCACTTCAATGGCCGTCAATTATTTACGGGTTGTTGCTATTTGCAGGCTGTCCTCCCTGATTAGTGGGGGTCCACTGTATAGTTTTACATTGGAACACGAGATGGCAGCAATCACTTGGTTGCACTTCCGTTGGGTCTTGAAATGTCCTATACTAAACATGAGTATGCCTGATAATAGTATATTTTATTGTGGATTTGGAATGACCTGCAGGGTAAACGTAGTAAGTAATATTAAAATTCTGAGTCAGTTGATTTTTGTGGGAAAAAAAATTGCACCGAATGTCTTCTTGCACTTAATGTTAGTTAGCTGTTAAGCAGTTTTACGCCATTCTTGAATGCATATCTTAGCCTTATGGGGATCGTGGGCAAAATCTTACAAAACTGTCTTCAGGCAGTCGGCGGGATACACCCATTAACTGGTTGCCAGCCAATCGCAGGGCACAATATGTGGTTATTTTTGGATTATTCAAACCCTTTCTTATTGTTTTTTTTTTGGTTTTTTTTTTTAATTGAGCATGAGATACTGTATATTAATATATTTGAAGTACATTGGCTCAAT